ATGTATGTATGTATGTATGTATGTATGTATGTATGTATATGTGTGTGTGTGTGTGTGTAGGTAGGTAGGTAGGTAGGTAGGTAGGTAGGTAGGTGTGTATGTATGTATGTATGTATGTATGTATGTATGTATGTATGTATGTATGTATGTATGTATGTATGTATGTATGTATGTATGTATGTATGTATGTATGTATGTATGTATGTATGTATGTATGTATGTATGTATGTATGTATGTATGTATGTATGTATGTATGTATGTATGTATGTGAGATCGTAGTGTGAGCTGGGGTACTTGTAGAGCGAAGGGAATGGATCTTAGGCGAGTTCGAAAGGTCGATGGGTAAGCTGGAGAGATCGCAGGGAGAGCTGGAGAGATTGTAGGGATACTTGGAGAGATCGCAAGTGTGAGCTAGACGAGATCGTGGAATGAATTAACATCATCGACTTGTGAACTGAAGTGGACGAGAAGGAGAAGATGAATAGGAGATGGCAAGCTGGAGAAGACGAGCGAGATTAATCGATGATTAGTTCAATACATTGTATTGGAAAATGAAATATTGGAAACTGTAAACTAAAGCTTAAACAAATAATCTAAAAATAGCATTTTCTGAACCCGGGAAAACAGTTGCTGACTTGATTACTTCATTTTTGTGTAATCAGAAATCACACAAGGGTGACAAAAACCAGAAATGAAAAGCTAAATCTAACCTTCTGATTTTCTACAAATAAAGATATTACTTTAAAAGAAATATGCTTTTGCGATAAAAATGCTCTGAAAGAGCTTTATTTAATTTCTGAGAAAAAGATATCGATGAAAAAGAAAATCGAAATATATTTTGTGTATGTTAGACATGCTTGATCAAATATTTATCTGCCATTTTTTATTATTACTGGTCATTCCGTTCCTTTATATTCCTACTTAAAATACTACTCTGTCAGTGCGAAGTTAGCAAAAGATTATATTTTGGGTATTAAATGTAAAAGAGGTACATAGACATTACAGATATATTTAGTAACGTTCTTGCATTTCTAAGTGATCGATTAATAAACTAAGTAATTTTCTAAAATGGATTGTCTTATCACATGTCCTTCCTTTGATGGAAGTAATCTCATGATTTGGGTAAGACATATACTGTCTACATTTCTTGTTCGTATGTGTTTACTATCAGAATTATACATAATATTACTACTTAACATATATTCTAAGAAATTATTTATACATTAAACCTGTATGATTCCAGAATGCTTATATTAAATGATAAAGTCCACGAGTTTTACCCCGACTGAACGAGGGCAATTTCTGGTATATTTAAAACAATAATCTGATTTATATTTTAGGGTGATTTATCGTCCTTTTCACCATTACTTCGATTCTCTTCTCCAGCTCAGTTAATCCGGCACATTCTTTCCTGCTCAGCCTCTCCAACTCGTCCTCTTTGATCGCTCTTGTTTGCTACAGTTCTCCAGTTCATACAACAATCATTCTTTTTCGTCTCGCGATCTCTCTAACTCGCCTTCTCCAGCTGACCATACCATTTTTCGATTGCACCCAACGATCACCTTAACTAGCATTGCAATCTCTTCATTTCGCCCAACAATCTCTCCGGCTAGCCTTATTATGTCTCCAGCTCGCCAAATGATCTACATAACTCGCTCTACGTTTTCTCTGATCTCGTTAGATCATACCACCCACGATCTTTCTAGCTCAAGGTGCCCCCACATGTTCTCGATTTCTGTCACTCGATTGTAATTACTTTTTCTGGTACATTTTATGGCACACCAAATCGTTGCAAATGGATGAGCTGGAACCACCGTAGAGTGATCTGGTGTAAATCATTGGGTGAGCTGGAGAAGGAGAACTGGAGATAGTGTAGGGTGTTCTGAAGTAATCCTAGGCTAGCTGAAGTAATGATAACGTGATCTTGGAGAGATGGTAGAGTGAATTGAAGTTATCGTTGGGTGAACTGACGTAACCGTAGGTGAAGTTATCGTTGGGTGAACTGACGTAATGGTAGGGTGAATAGAAATAATCGTAGGGTGAGCTTGGAGAGATCATGGGGTGAACTGAAGTAATCCCTGGGTGAGCTTAAGTAATCGTAGGGTGTACTTGCAGAGATCGTAGAGTGAACTGAAATAATCATACGGTGAGATATATATTTATGAGAAGTAAATGGAAAAGATGACAACTTTTCATGTCTTTCTTGATATTGTTTTGGCTTCCTGTAACCATAGCAACGGACACGTGAACACAAGATGTTACCCACCTTATGTATACAGTATACATCAAATGAGGACATTTTGACATACGCAACGCAATAGTTGGGAACTGGTTCTTGTGATTGTGCATTAGATTCCTAGGAAAGTTGTAAGGAAACAAAAGGTAAGTTATTGTTTTGTCAAGTATTTTTATTCAAGTGTTGCAGCTGTCATAATTTTATCGCTGACGATGAACAAGAGAGGACATGTACTGATGTCTACAAATGATAATACAGGCGACTAAATGTTTAGTGACCGACCAATTACTTTTAGGGGAAAGGGGTGGGAGACCCACATAGATTTGTTATAGTACAATAAAATACGCTCCACCCCGCTTAAAATTTATATCTTTTATTCTTTGATTTATAGAAAACTATCTATCTATCTATCTATCTATCTATCTATCTATCTATCTATCTATCTATCTATCTATCTATATATATATATATGTATATATATATATATATATATATGTATATATATATATATATATATATATATATATATATATATATATATGTGTGTGTGTGTGTGTGTATGTATGTATATATATGTGTGTGTATGTATGTATATATATATGTGTGTGTATGTATGTATGTATGTATGTATGTATGTATGTATGTATGTATGTATGTATGTATGTATGTATGTATGTATGTATGTATGTATGTATGTATGTATGTATATATATATATATATATATATATATATATATATATATATATATATATATATATATATATAATCCTGATTAAATTGAATGCTTCTTCTGAAAAATTATCACTAAATAATATATTATACTAAACCTAGGGTATGTGTTCCGACTTTAGGGTTTTTAACTACATAGCAAAAACAACAAAACGAACAAATCATGTAAAATTTAAAATATCAATTTTTACTTCCCTAAAATTCAAAGTAAAAGAATTAAAAATTAATTAAATATGGTGAGAAAATTTTTAAAATCTTAAAGGTTATAAAATTTCCAAAAGTTTCTAGTAGTCTGAATAATTTAGTTTCAAAGGTATTTCGAATGATGTTCGCACTGTACTGATTTGTCAAGAGTACAGAAAAAACGCTGCTATAATCCTAAATGTTTTATAATGAATTGACAGCAATCCCAAACATTTATTTATCTAAATGTCTTTTAGTGAATTCTTGGTAATTTCGTACAGCTGGTATGTATCCAAATAGTCTTTACTTAATGTTAAAGCACTGCAATTCCATCGAATGATTATATTAAATCAATGAATCAATCCTCTAAAGAACTAATATTTCACTGTGTTACGTATCTAGGCTCGTACCAAGCAACAAAAAAGAGTAAAACGAATAAGCGTTGTAAAATTTTAAAAAATAATGTTTTCCTCAAAAACAAAGTAAAATTATGAAAAAGGACTTACACAGTGTTTCATAATACACTCGCAAAATATTTATTAGCATCTATCAATAGAACAGATTGTCTATTAATTAAATATTTTTCGTATAACGGTAATATAGAGATGTTAAAGAGCAATCATATCCGATGGATATAAAGCAAAACAACGTTTATGCAATTTTTTTTTGAATGATCACGAGTTTACTTGTATGGATGGATTCTGGTTCTTTGCTGTCTTCATGCATGCATTCAAATCTGAACTTTCCGCCTTGTCAACCACACAGTCTTGGTTGATAAAAGACGCTACGCTCAAATGTCGATTGCCACTTCATTTCGGCTGCCAATCAACACCCTGCAGTATCAGATTTCTACACTGTTTCCAGACATGATCATGATTGTGTTCTGAGTCAGAATTGCCACCTAAACAATTTTAGTACTAATACTAAACGAGTTTCTTTTTCTAAAAATGTGTCCGTTTGTCTTAGAGTGTAAACGGCACACTGTATTCATAAACAATGTTTATAAATAATAGTTCATGTAAGTTCAGTTACTAAATATCTAAATATTTTACAGGATTCATGTTAACAAATGAAACCTACATTTTCTTCTCGCGGTTTCATTTCAAGGCAACTCCTTAGTGATTAAATAATTGTACGTAGAGGATCTACAATCTTGACACATGTTAAGATCTGTTCATAGAGAGAGAGAGAGAGAGAGAGAGAGAGAGAGAGAGAGAGAGAGAGAGAGAGAGAGAGAGAGAGAGAGAGAGAGAGAGAGAGAGAGAGAGAGAGAGAGAGAGAGAGAAAGATATGGGGTGGGAGTGGGCCATAAGAAGCAGAATGTAATAGGCAAAAATAAAACAGATACTAGTAATATATGTACGTGCAGAATTTTTTCTTAAATGGAAAAGTAAAGAAGTTGCAAAAGTGATATCGCCACTGTGGCTACAAGATAAGTATCGCCATTGTGGCGAAACATTTATCTCTGCTGATATGTACCATTATAACATTATGATATTTGCCTGCAGGCCCCGATTTTCCCTATATCAAACTTACTCTAAGATTTCTTGTTGTATATATATATATATATATATATATATATATATATATATATATATATATATATATATATATATATATATATATATATATATATATATATATATATATATATATATATATGCTATTTTGTAAAGTTTAGGTTACATTTAACACAAAAGAAAGAATAACTCTCTATTTAGTTTGTTCGTATCATTCAGATTATATCACATATTGTAAATAATATGTACAAGAATAAATTGATTAGAAAATGTGAGTACCTTCATGTAAATACATCACAGACGGTATTGAATAAACTGTGTATATTAACAGCTTCGGTGGCCTAGTGGTTAGAGCGTCCGCCTCGGATGCGGGAGGTAGTGGGTTTTATCCCTGGTCGAGTCATACCAAAGACTTACAAAAATGGTACTAATAGCTGCCTCGCTTGACGCTCAGCATAAAGAGGCTAGTGTTAGATCTGGTCGGCCTGGTGTCAGGATAATGTGACTGGTTGGGACATCGTGCTACATGTCTGCGGCATGATGCCCCAGTGCTAGAAATCACTATAAACTGACACACTGCAGATATCGTAGCGATATGACTGAAAAATTGTTAAAGCTACGTTAAAAATCATAATCACTACATCACATATCAGCTGTGTATTTGTCTGAGGAAAACCCAGCCGTTCCGAGTAGCTATTTTGGTTACCCGTCCATCCCAAGACTGTTTAGGTATGTTTTCAATAATGTTTGGCATAGACCGGTCCAGAGAAAACATTTGAACTTTGAATTTGGTATGATATTTTTATGAAGTTTATGTTATTTATATAATTTTAAAGCTGATCATGCCAAAGAGTAATACAAAAAGAACACAAAAGGGTGTCATTGTTCAGGTCGAAAAGTAACATACAATTGTCTGGGCTTACTGTCAAGGTAAATATCACCTGAGGAATTTTATGTCGCATCTGATTTGAAACAACTTTGTTTTAATAAAGCGACAATGTTTTAATGTAACTTTGTGGGATATTCTTGGTACTTCAAGAACATCATTATTATTAATTCTAATGGAGCATTAATGAAACTTCACCAAAACTTGTACTCATCTTAATATAGACGATAATGAGGTATATTTCGATTTAAATTAAAACAGAAAGCAAGAACTTTTATGCTATCTATAATAGTTTTTAGCATTATAATAATTGACGGATTCGGGAAATAAAGAAACAAGTATGTGTGTTAGTAGTCATAAGAGCCACAATAGGGACAAAATCGCCACTTGGGGACAGTGAGAAATCCTATGATATATTTCTTAATATGGTTAACATATCGGAGCTTCTAGAAAGACAAAAGGGTGTGTAGGGACAAAACGGTAACTGTGTTACTAGAACTGACATCAGTGGGGTTACTTACTAACACTGTTGTAGTTGATTTCAGTGTTATTATAGGAAAGTATGGGAAGATAAGAAGAAGAAACTATAAGTCCAGTTATCTCCTATTTTCTCATCGGTGGGCTAAACAGCTAAACCAAAATAACTTCTAGATATCTAAACAATCGGCAATACAAAGTCTCTCGGTGTCAGACGTAAGTGGGATGTAATTGGAAGTAACAATAAACCTTTGTTTTCTTTCCATATCGTAAGATAAAATGAAAAGAGGTTTCCGCACTTTGTGAGTTAAATCGATGTTTTATTTTGCTTTGTTTATGCAATTTACATCTACAAGTAGTTATATCAGCCACCATGCAGATACAAGAGTCACTTGGCAAATCCTATGTTAAATTTCTCTATAGGGTTAACATGCGAGAGCCTCTATAGGAACAAAGGATGTATAGGAACACAACGGTAGCATTTTTACAAGTAGCTGAACTCAATGGGGGGGGGGGTGACTTATTAACAGTGTTGCAGTTGACCCCCAAAAAGGCTATTGTAAGTAAATTTTAAAAAATCCTATGTTAAAATGTGTCCATAGGATTAACACGGGAATGGGAGTAGGGGGACTGAATTGGTTTATGGGGATAAACGGGAAGGGTAACGTGAATAGGACAAAGAAAGATACACATACACACAATACAGGGATTTGTTGTTGTTGTTGGGCTTAACGCCATTTTTCAGCACACGATAGGCTATTCATGGCGGCCAGTATTAATGGTGGAGGAAGAAACCGGGAAATCACCGGAAAGAACCACCGACCCACGAGAAGCTACTGGCAAGCTTTCTCACATATCCACATTCGCCGAATCGTAGACTCGAACCCACGCAGACAGAGGTGATTTGGCAGTGATCCGTAACGGACAGCGCTTTAGACCATTCGGCCACTTGGGGCACCCACACAATACAGGGACAAAACACCAATGGTAATAATTTTCCTTCGCGAAAAATTTGGAAAGTTTTCGTACAAGCATACATAAAAAGGCCAAGTAGCTAAAACGAATGAAAGTTTAAGTGAGCCAGTGAATTTGTTATTCATCTTATTAGGTTGGAATACTCGAATTTAGAACGGCAATATAAAAGGAATTTTCAATTTGAATCACGGATTTATTATTTTTCCAAGCCAAACTGGAATCACTGGAATGTGAGGCAATTTGATTGGAAGCCCTAAAAGTGGCCGTTAGATTGGTAGGTTACTTGTTTGTACTGCAGTGCCGGGAATGCTTCGAATCCATGAATTTGAAAAAGACGTTCTGCAGCTTCCACCACGGTCAACATTGGACGTTATTCGTATGATTCATTGTAATATTTGAAAGATATCCGTCTCTCAAATTGCTGTCGCTATGATCTTGGCTTTCATGTCGTCAGGGACCTCAAAGCCAAGTATCTGACTGCATTTACAAAGTGACCAGCAATCTTGGAGTAGTCTAAGGCCTCCAGAAGTCCAACAGCCTCTAGTTATTCAAGTCGATTTCTTTTCTTCCTCTACATCTTCTTGAACTTCCTCTGCCTCCTCTAACTGTAGTGTTTCTTCATCTGTGGATTCAACCTCACTATAGACGGTGGTGCTCGATATTTTACATCATTAATGATTGTCTATACTTCCCTTGCTAGATGTTGTGAGTATTGATCCCTGCCATGAGGAGTGAGTGTAGTACTGCTGGACTGCTCGACAGGTTGGCTATGGGCTTTCAGATTCTCTCGCAGAGATGGAGTTACAGCTGTGGTCGTAGAGTTGTCAGTTACCTGTGATAAAGTGTTTCTCCGCTTTTGTTTTTCATCGCCTTAGCATACACTCAACGTCCAGAAGTATCATTATCGTCGATAAGCACATTTGATTCATTACACACTAATACAAGTGTTTGTAACTTTGAATCCAGCTTCAAGCTGCAACTGGTAGCCAGTGTTTTGCCTAGGGCCTGTATTGTCTATAGTGCGAGAGTCAGAATGATAGCAATAACTGGAAGCCTAAGTGGCGCTTCGCATTGGTTGTCTAATCTGATAACTTCCATTGCTAAAGACGTTTGATCAGTAGCATCACTAACTATGACTGACGAACGCACCTCATTGTGTGCATCAAGCATCAACGTGAAGGAAAAGATCTCCCATTCTATCAATAACTCAAATACAAGACCAAAGCATGGAAAAGAAATATCGCGCCAGTCTAAAAGAAATTCTTTCTCTTCCTTATACATACAGATGCAATACACTCCATACAAGCACACACTTGATAAGGGAAAGTGTCTTTTTCTTGGGGAGAAACATTGATAAACACATACATACACCTAGCCTAAGAAACACACACTATTACACAAAATGATAGGAAATGATTATATATGAACCACCAGCCTTCAAAAACAAACCCACATTTTTATCAGGGAATGGTTTATATTGTGGGCTAAGACAAACACAAACACAAACATACATATACAAATCAAGTATAGCAAAATGATCTACAGAGATGTGGTAGCTTTGAAAAGGTTGTAAATTCTCCGTAGGAGCAATTGTGAAGGTTGATTCTATCAACGGCTAATGGTACGTTTGTGGTTGTTGTGAATGTTGATGTCTCTGTGTTTGCCATCTTGATGCTAAAAGTCTATATCACATGATTCAATCTCGGTGAATCCTAGATATCATATGTTGAGTTGGTACTCCCCACACATTGGTTTTACATGACAGACAAATTTAGGCAGTTTTACTCTCTTCTAGTTATCCTCATCATCCTCTACTTCCTCTGTCAGTGTGAAGCTCACTAGCCGGCTTGCAATTTTTAAATGCATGTTAGTCCACTTCATCAAAACGGTCTGACTCCTTGACATGACCAAGGAGGTGCTTGACATACTCCAGTTACTCTAAAGATTCATTCAGCTTTCAGGTCGTGTTCTTCATATCAATTCTGGGTTGACGAGTTAAGGATGTTAGACAGACTGACATGTCATATGTATTATAGTCATGTATACACTCTCGTGTTTTATGACTTTAAGCCCTGATAAGGGATAGTGGCCTCTTCCCCTTCTAGGGCCAGGCTCACCCGTGTCTCAGTGCTAGACACTTTTGCCCCGGCGCGTGTGCCTATTAACCCCCCTGGTGGCTCACCGCCTTGGCCGGATGTTACCTTTCGATAACATTGCTATCCAGGGAGGCGCTTAGCCATAGGGCTGGGCTTTTGGTCGTGGTGCTGACCTTTATTTGCTGTTCTTAAGACCCTTTGTTTGGCTGCATATTGTAACAGAGCGTAACGGCCTTCCGCCTCAACTCCCACCTACTAAAGTCCCCAATGTCTAAGTTCACCTAACTTTATTTCAGGTGGATTATCGTCAAATTTAACCAGTTTTTCCTACGGGTGTCCCTATACCAATGATGTGTTAGCCACCTATTCAATTATCCAAATGGTCCTGAGTTGTGAATTTTGAATATATTTTGATGAAGTTCAATTTTGGGTACTTAGCGTACTTATATGGTTCTAAAAAAATAACTCAATATCTAGGTGTATTTCACCTAATTTTGACATTTATCACCGCTTTGACAATGTTTGTTTTTTAATTTTGACTGCCTTTCCAAAGGATCTCGTTTTAATGTTGGGTCTTCCAGGCCAAAGTGAAGACATAGGTTGTAGACTTATTTTAGAACAGTTGTTTGCGCGGCCCGGGCTGTCCATCGCTAATTGTTTGTCCGTTCCGTTCAATTTTGTTATTGTAGCCTTTACCAGGTTACTTTTTGGTCTTTGTGTGCGTCCGGCTAATCGGTCTACTCCGCTCCTGGGAGTTAGGGCTATCAGGTGGGAGGTTTTTGATGATTTTCCCTTATCGTCCTTGACCTTTTTCTCCTTGTCATGGTGGGAAATCGTATCATATATATATATATATATATATATATATATATATATATATATATATATATATATATATATATATATATATATATATATATATATATATATATATATATAGTTCTTATAGGAGTCAGGATCCACCCAGGC